CTTATTCACCGTTTTCTTGTAGTGAGGTGAGTTAAGTCTAAGTATTATTTTTATATAAAAAATAAAATCAAATATTGTTTCTCGAGGTTTACATAATTAGTGTCGTTGTCATTGACACTCTTTACCTTGTAGAGGTTTTTACTTATTATCCTTTAATCAAGTTGTCTAAAATTCAAATATTGTCCTTCAATGTGGAATAAACTGTTAGAAATGAAATACTCACCTTGTACGAGCTCATAGTCCCTAATGTAGTTAGACACTGCTTTTAGTGGTGAATACTTCATATCAATGTCAAGACTACTAAAAAAGTTAATCAATAATTACTTCTTAATCACCTTCAAATTTCTCTCTTATTAGTTAGCTCCTAGCTAGCCTAGTTACCTTTGACATTGCTAAAATTAGTTTAAGACTAAATATTTTTTTTGTATTTTTAAAAAAATTTATCTTTAAATATTATATCGTAAAATATCACGTCACTTAAATAATGAAAGTAAAAAGTCAACTTTAAAACTTAAATATTGGTCCACGGATGTCAAATTGATTGTATAGGACCGATGTTCCATAATTTTAAAATTAGAGGCAATAATTGTAGACCGACAAATTAAAATAGGGGGAAAAATATAAGTTAACTATTAATTTTTTCTAACTCCTCCAAAATCCCTTTACACACCTATGGTACACCCACTTGTTTTTGTCTACCTCTGTTTTAGCCTTACCTTTCATTACTCTTTTATTTTTGGAAGATTACTATATTTGGGTTTGAATGTGTATGGAAATCGTTTACTATACAGGGAAAGACTCAAGGGTATAATAAGGATTATGAAGATGTTGAAGTTCATTGGTTTTGAACAATTTATAGGAGGTTGTTCTATTTCACAAACTTCCCTTTCTAATATATATCGAATATTGTTGGGTATTTGGATCCTCTCTTGCACATATTGTGTATAGTTCCTTTCCAACACAATTATAGACCATTAACTTAGCTTAACGGTTGAGATTAAAAAGCTCTCAAAGTTGTTTTCTTAATGATAAATTATACATTTGGAATTTTCTTTTCTCTCTCTACACTCTATAGGTTCACATTCTTTTATTTCCAAATTCAACTCTTGTTGAATTCCAAACTCATTATAATTTATAAGTGCAAGAACAATTTTAGACATTAAATTATAAGTATTATACTTAATATTAGGTGCAAGAAGCACACTCCTTTCAATTTATTTTGGCTCACAAGTTAAAAGGATTTTTAACATCTAACAGAATACTGACGAGCATAAGTTTCTTGTCGCTAAAATCTAATCCTAATGGTTTGGGGGTAATCTATAAATATGCTTAGTATGGTTGCTTTTTTTTATTTTCCCCCCCTTAAAATATCTGAACGAGTTTATATTTCTCAAATCTTCCAAATTATATAAGGTTAAGAAGTGAGTATTTAAAAAAAAAATGCTTGGGTGGTGGAGAAGATGATGCACTTATTTTTTGCGAAGCGACCACAAATGCAACGTTCAAGAGGTTGCAAGAAGTAATGGAACGAGTTTGAAGTTCAACAAGAATGGAATTTGTAGGGCTGATCAATCATTGTAGGATATTTTTTAAAATTAATTACATAAATGAGACTGTTTTAAAATTATTTACGCTTTTGGGATAATTTACAACAATGTCGTTATGGCCCACAACGACACTAGTGTCATGTGTAATTTATTTTTAGAAACCATGAAAGTCATATTATAAAAGTCTTCAAAGCTGGTAGCGCTTCAACTACGGTCGCTACAGCCACTAACGACAAACAAAGGCTTCATGTTCGGCTAGAAATTTAAAAAAAAAAATTAATGAAATCGCTACAGCCTATAACAACATCAATTAATTATTTTTTTATAAAAAAAATATTTAAAATTTTAGTATATAACATTTTAAAAAAATTTATTTAATTATTTTTAAATAGCGTATAATTTTTTTTTATAAAAAATAAATAAATGAAGTCGCTATAATATGTAGCTTTTGAAAAATTAAATTTATTTAATAATTTTTAAAACTATCATATACTGTTATAAAATAAAGAAAAAATAAATTTATTTTTAATTAAATTATTTAATATAAGAAATATAATTATTAATATATATATATATATTTAAATATAAAAAAATGAGTCAAATTTTTCTTAGCAGCAAAATAACTTTTTTTCTAAATTGCTAAATAAAAGAATTATTTTTTAAATATTAATTAAATATAATAACGTTGCTATAGAGCTTAAATTTTTTTAAAAAAAAACATATTTAAATAAAGTCGCTATAAGTTGCAGTGACTTCAATTAATAAGTTTTTTTTAAAAAAATAATTTGTTTAAATATTTAGCATATAAATTTTTTAAAAAATTAAATTTATTTAATTAAGACTAACATAGATGGTTAAAAAATGAAGAAAGAATGAATTAATTTTTAAATTGAATTATTTAATATAAAAATATAATTAATATTGTAAATATATATAAATATAATAAAATAAGTAAATTTTTTACTAGCAGTAAAATATAAATTTTTCATATATTACTTTTTTCTTTTTGGATTATCTAGAGTCATTATGAGTGTAACGTAACAAGTTGTTTTAGAAAGTTCAATATAGGTGATTTAGTAGCCTAGAACGGACCGTTCCAAGCTATTAAATTTACCTGTAATTCGTGGTTGAGAACGGGCCGTTTTGGAGGGAGAACGGGTCATTCCAAATTCTAGAACGGGCCGTTCTGGTTGGAGAACAGACCGTTCTGGTTGGAGTACGGGGCATTCTAGATGCAGAACGGGCCGTTTTGCATGTGGGTTTTGCACATAACGAAGGAGAACAGAACGGGCCGTTCCGGAGGTTAATGTTTTTTTTTTTATTTCAAGTATAATTCATATAAATCATGAAGTAATGTAAAAAAGATTGTTGCAAGAATGTCATTAAACTCAATTCCTCTCTTCTTTATTTCCTTTTATTTTCTTTTCAATCAAACAAAAGAAATATTTTTAATATTTTTAAAAAATATTACATGTTTAAATAATTTAATTAATATAATAATATATTTTATTTTAATTTATATTTTTGACATGAAAGCAAATTCTAACTAATTAAATTAAGATTAATTAGCATGATTAAGAGATGATCAAGAGACTTAATATTATGTTTTGATGGTGAATATTCTATTGATAATATTAGTTTATTAAAACTATAATTAATTTGTAAGATACTTTAATAATTCTATAAAATTATAGAAATTTCTATAAAACTCTACAAAATGAACATATAAAATGGATTGAAAGCTTAACCATTAAGATATTTAAATTTTTTTACAAAATTATAGAAAGTGGACACCTCATCATCATGTGATTAAATAGATTAGAAGTTTCACCATTAAGATACTTAAATAATTCAACAAAATTTTAGAAAGTGCTATAAATATCTACAACATGGACACCTAATCACCATTTCATTAAGATATCTTATAAATTATCAAGAAATATCTACAAATATAAAATATTTGAGAATAGAGATGGAGACTAGTACAAATAGGCGAAACCATACCAAAAGGCTCACAAACAACCCTTCAAACCAAGACATAAACCAAGCCAAAGAAGAGAGGAAGAAAGAAAGAACAAGAGGAAGAAAAAGAAGTAGGAAAAGAAAAATTCAAGGAAGTTAGGAGAAAACTATCAAGCTTGGAGAAATAGGTATGGGTTAGATGTTTAATTTTATTCATGTCTATATATTTGTAGAATAAGTATTGATCTTTACTTATAATTTTTGATCCATGGAACCTTAGGTTATTTGATATGGTTTTTGATTGTAATTTTTGATAAATTTGATGTTTTAAGGTTGAATCTTGAAGTGGTTGATTGTTTGATTGGATGTTTCTATTGAAATTGTTTGAATTGTATTTGAAAAGTTTGATTGAGATTAATTTTTGAAGTGATAGATTAATTGTGAAGCATGTTGCATATTGCATAATGTGGCTTTTGAATCAAAAGATTTGTTTTTGGGGGGGGGGAGGGAGAAATGAATTCTAAAAAATAAGTATATATGAGAAATGACTTTAATATCAAGGATATTTGATAAAAAAAAATAAAGAATGAGTTTTGAAATTTTGAAATGATGTTTTTTATGTGAATTCTTTTCTTTAAGTTTATTATCCGAGACATTGGTGGTAAGAGATTGATTGTGATAGTGGGTACTAGCAAGGACAGTTGGCAGTATAAGATGGATAAACGAAAGGAAAAATATAGAGCAAGAAAGAGCTTGATATGGTTGTTAAAGTTTGACTGAGGTATTTGTTTTATGCTACCAATGTCAAAAGACAATGAATGGTTTGAGTAGAATAGGTAAGACGGGACCTTCGGTCTAGGGGAATAGACCTTTGGTCTAGGGAGTGTTTGGGCATGGGCAATCCCATAGATGACCAGTCTTTATTTGGTTCTGTGTCGTGGTAGCTGGAGCTGTTGGCTGTGTCTGCTGCTAGAAGTGAATTTTTTTGGTACCTAGTGTTAGAGTTACCACCTTGGGTAACAGTTTTGTGCTTGATCGACACTAGGAGATAGTAGTTTTGGATAATTGTATAAATACCAATACTTAAAAACTTTATTATTATTATTATTATTATTATTATTATTATATATATATATATATATATATTTGCTTCATGTTGTGTATTTATGAGTTATCCAATTTTATTATTTATCTTAGTTTACAAACTTTTAGTGTGATTCCATTAAGTGTAGAGACCACGGCGGTCGTTACACTTTTATGGTATCAGAGCCGGTCGAGTCCTTTGGATACTCTGTGGGGAGTGATCCTTCTAGGTTTCTGTTGTGTCATATCTCTGATATGTGCTAGCCTTTGGTGATTTGTGGAGGTATTATGTTACTTATAGGATGTTTGAATTCTTGTAGTATGGCGAGACCCCAGTATGATGAGATTGCTAGGGCGATGGAGATGATGGCCATGGCGATGCAGTAGTAGAGTGCTCACTTTGCTCAGATGGAGACAAGTAGAGCTGTGGCTGAGGCAGCTAGACTGGTGGTCTCTCAGGAGGGGAGAGATTTAGCAGAGTTCAGGGGATGTCAGCCTCCTCAGTTCAAGGGGGATTCAGATCCTGATGTGGCAGATTAGTGGTTGAGTGAGATGGAGAAGATCTTTAGTGTTCTGGGATCTTCTGAGGATAGGAAGCTGACTTATGTAGTTTACATGCTGGGGGTGAGGCTGAGTACTGGTGGAGAGGCACCAGGCAGATGTTAGAGAGCAGGGGTGTACTTGTTGATTGGGATTGCTTCAGGAGGGTCTTTTTGGGGAAGTATTTCCCGGACAGCGTTAGATACGCTAAGGAGGTGGAGTTCATGAGACTACATCAGGGGAGCTTGTCTGTTTCTGAGTATGCTATGAGGTTTGAGAATCTAGCTCGTTTCTACTCTCATGCCATATCTGAGGCTTGGAGATGTAGGAAGTTTGCAGAGGGGTTGAGGCATGAGCTGAAGAGGGTCATAGTCCCGATGTCCATAGTGGAGTTTCTTGCCTTGGTTGAGAAGGCAAAGACTGTTGAGAGATTGGAGGGTGGTGGTAGTAGCGGTAAGGTTGCTAGAGTTCAGGAGGGATCATCTAGGTCCAGGAGGGGAGGCCAGCAGAGGGGACCTTATGACAGACCTGTACAGTCTCAAAGAGAAGCTGTTAGTAGGGGACCTCGTCCTGCTACTCCTCAGGGTGGAGCTCAGGCTGTTAGATGTTATCAATGTGGTGGGCCACATTTTGTCAGAGACTTCCCTTCTACACAGCCCAGGTGTTTTAGATGCAGTAAGTTTGGCCATCTGGCCAAGGATTGCCCAGTTGGGGAAAGTCAGTCTGGAGTTTCTTAGAGGGTGGAGCGACCTAGAGCAACAGGAAAAGTTTTTTCTTTGACAGGAGTGGAGGCTTCCACCTCACCAGACTTGGTGAAGGGGAAGGGCAGAGTTGCAGGTACAGAGGTTTCTATCTTGTTTGATTCTGGTGCTACACATTCATTTATATCTGTTGATTGTGTGGAGAGATTGGGTTTGTTAGTGTCTGCATTGCATGTTGGTTTACCTGTGTCTACTCCAACTTTAGTTTTTGTAGTGACGTCGGAGGTGTGTGTGGGATGCCCAATAGAGGTGTTTGGTAGGAGGTTCCAAGTGAACCTGATTGTATTGCCTATGGTGGATATCGACATAATCTTAGGGATGGATTGATTATCTGTCCATCACATCCTTATAGATTGTGCTCGGAGAGAGTTGGTATTTCCTCGGTTAAAGGATGAGGTGTTAGTATCAGCGAGTCATGCTGAGTAGTTGATGAGGGATGGAGCTGAGTGCTTCATGTTGTTTGCAGCTTTGAGTATTGAGACAGAGAGAGCTATCACTGGAATTGAGATTGTCAGTGAATTTCCTGAGGTGTTTCCAGATGATGTGCCGGGATTGCCACCTAGGCGTGATGTTGATTTTAGCATTGATCTAGTACCCGGTGCAGGACTGGTATCAGTGGCTCCTTATAGGATGGCTCCAACTGAGTTGATAGAGCTGAAGAGACAGATTGAGGATTTGTTGGAGAAACAGATGGTGAGGCCTAGTGTTTCTCCTTGGGGTGCCACGGTATTATTAGTAAAGAAAAAGGATGGTGGGACCCGTTTGTGTGTTGATTATCGGCAATTAAATAAGTTGACGATAAAGAATAAGTATCCACTTCTGAGGATTGATGATTTGATGGATCAACTGAGGGGAGCTTCGATATTTTCGAAGATTGATTTGAGATCCAGATACCATCAAATCAGGGTTAAGGAAAGTGACATACCGAAGACTGCTTTCAGGACTAGGTATGGTCACTATGAGTATGTGGTGATGCCTTTTGGTGTCACTAATGCTCCAGCAGTGTTCATGGATTACATGAACAGGATTTTTAGACCGTTCTTGGACACATTTGTGGTGGTCTTCATTGATGATATTTTGTTGTATTCTAGATCATTGGAGGATCACCGTGAGCACTTGAGGTCGGTTTTGGAGGTTTTGAGGGAGAGATAGTTGTATGCCAAATTGTCCAAGTGTGAGTTTTGGTTGTCCGAGGTGAGATTTTTGGGGCATGTGATATCAGCAGACAGGATTGCAGTAGATCCAGCCAAGGTGGAGGCTGTGATGTAGTGGGAGCGTTCGAGGACTGCTTCAGAGATTAGGAGTTTTGTTGGGTTAGTAGGTTACTATCGGAGATTCATAGAGGGTTTCTCTCGAATAGTAATGTCTTTGACTCAATTGACCCGGAAGGATCAGCCTTTTGTGTGGACAGATGCTTGTGAGCAGAGTTTTCAGGAGTTGAAGAGACGGTTGACTACTTCTCCAGTCTTGGTATTACCTGACACTGGTGAACATTTTGATGTGTTTGTGACGCTTCTCACCAGGGGTTGGGATGTGTGTTGATGCAAGGAGGGAGAGTAGTAGCATATGCTTCGAGGCAACTTAAGATTCATGAGAGAAATTATCCTACTCATGATTTAGAGCTTGCATCTGTGGTGTTTGCCTTGAAGTCGTGGAGGCACTATCTGTATGGTGCGAGATTCAGTGTATTCAATGATCACAAGAGTTTGAAATACCTGTTTGATCAGAAGGAACTAAATATGAGGCAGAAGAGGTGGATGGAATTTCTAAAGGACTTTGATTTCCAGTTGATGTATCATCTTAGGGAGGCGAATGTTGTAGCAAATGCATTGAGTAGGAAATCCATTCACATGTCGGCTATGATGATTAGAGAGTTGGAGTTGATTGAGCAGTTCAGAGATTTGAGACTAGAGGTGGAGGTTGTTCAGGATCACATTAGTTGTGGTATGATAACCATAACTAATAAGTTCTTGAAACAGGTGGGACTAAACAATTACAGGACCCAGAGTTGTTGAAGATTCTTGGATTGCTTGGTACTGAGAGGGCAACTGGTTTTGAGCTTTGTACATATGGAATTCTGAGATTCAGAGGTCGGATTTGTTTGCCTTGTGATCTAGAGTTAAGGAGAGCTATTCTAGAGGAGGGACACATGAGTCGTCTTAGCATACATCCTGGTATGACTAAGATGTATCAGGACATCAAGAAGAGTTTCTAGTGGCCTGGTATGAAGAAGGAGATAACAGAGTTTGTGGCCGCTTGTCTGACTTGTCAGAAAGCGAAGATTGAGCATCAGAGACCTGGAGGGGTTTTGCAGTTGATGGAGATTCCTGAGTGGAAATGGGATAGTGTCACTATGGACTTTGTGGTTGGGTTGCCTAGGACAGCTAGGAACAGTGACTCTATCTGGGTGATTGTTGATAGGTTGACAAAGTGTGCCCACTTTCTTCCTGTCAACAAAAGGTGGTCCTTGGAAAGGCTTGCACAATTGTATATCAGAGAGATAGTATGGTTGCATGGAGTGCCTTCTAGTATTATTTCTGACAGAAATCCAAGGTTTACTTCTAGGTTTTGGTAGACTCTACATCAGGCGTTGGGGACGAGGTTGAGGTTAAGTTCCGCTTATCATCCACAGACAGATGGTCAGTCAGATAGAACAGTTCAGTCACTAGAGGATCTTCTGAGAGCTTGTGTATTGGATCATCTGGGTAGCTGGGAGGAGGTGTTGCCATTGGTAGAGTTTACCTACAATAGCAGTTATCACTCGAGTATTGGCATGGCACCTTTTGAGGCTTTGTATGGCAGGAGGTGTAGGACTCCATTATGCTGGTATTAGGAGAGTGAGTCAGTAGTGGTTGGTCCAGAGTTAGTTCTTCAAACTACTGAGATGGTGAGACAGATTCAAGAGAGGCTGAGGGCTACCCAGAGTCGACATAAGTCTTATGCTGATAGGAGGAAGAGACCTCTAGAGTTTGAGGAGGGAGAGCATGTGTTTCTCAGGGTGACACCCACTACTGGAGTGGGAAGGGCTGTTAGGGCCAAGAAACTCACACCGAGGTTCATTGGTCCTTACCAGATCCTTCGTCATGCAGGTCTTGTAGCTTATCAGTTGGTGTTACCTCCGGTTTTGTCCAACCTGCATGATGTGTTTCACGTTTCACAGTTGAGGAAGTACATCAGAGACCCGAGTCACGTGGTAGAGATGGATGAGGTGCAAGTTAGAGAGAACTTGACCTATGAGAAGAGACCGATAGGTGTGATTGCTCACAAGTTGAAGGAGCTTCGTGGCAAGTCTATTAGCTTGGTGAAGATTCTTTGGGATGCAGCTACTAGTGAGGCAACCTGGGAAGTAGAGAGCCGATTCAAGGAACAATATCCATTCCTCTTTTCAGGTAAGCCTATTTTCGGGGACGAAAATTCTTATTTGTTGGGGGGTATTCTAACGTAAAAAGTTGTTTTAGAAAGCCCAATATAGGTGATTTAGTAGCCCAGAACGGGCCGTTCCAAATTCTAGAACGAGCCGTTCTGGTTGGAGAACGGACCGTTCTGGTTGGAGTACGGGGCGTTCTAGATGCAGAACGGGCTGTTCTGGATGAGTCTCAGAACGGGCCGTTCTGCATGTGGGTTTTGCACACAACGAAGGAGAACAGAACGGGTCGTTCCGGATTCGGTACAGGCTGTTCTGGCCACTTCGAAAAGTTTATAAATAGGGGTTGAGGGCTTGGAGGAGAATGCGAGTTTTTAGAGAGAAGTTTTAGAGA